TGATCATTTAGATATGCCTGTCAAACTTGATGCATTGCGTTATAACTACAGTTATCAACCTGATTGGAGCAGTACGTGGAGAGAGGAGCCATGCAACTGTGCTCCAGCTGGATATGGAGGTCAAAATTACAGTCTTTTTTTCCTTGAAGTGTTTCTTAAACGTACAAATCTTTTTTCAGGATTAATACCGTACTTTGATCCTGCCTATTATCCACAGGAGTTCGTCCAACTGAACGAACAGAATCGATTAAGATGTGTGGCTAGTGTTTACGCAAATCCATCCATGTACAGCCTTAACAACGCTACTTCACCTTGTCTCAATCACTAATGCTTTTTTCCATTTACCTCTCAATCTTACTTTCAACTCGCTGTTGACTAATCACACTCAGTGCTATTATTTTGTATGTAAATAAGTGTTATCGCTTGGTGTAAAGAATTTTGCCGGGGTCCATTGTTAAGCCAAATATCGTTGTTTACTGTTGAATCTACTACTGCTAAGCAAAAATAAAATTAAAAACTGTATAAACTATGTACTGAGCAAAAACTTTCAGTACAATACGTATGCTATTCAAAAACCCAAATTCAAAAATCCATGCAATCCCCCATTTGAATGAATTCTTCGAGCTGTAGAGCCAAGAAAATCACCGTTACCATGAGTCACATCCAAAACAAGTCCAACTCTAATTTTCTCTTGGATTTTTGTAATTTTTTATTGGCTTTTACAGATGTTTCTAAACAAACTTGTCGTAATTGTCTTAGTCGCAATTAGAAAACATAGGTGAAAACCCCATGATTTGATTGCTTTCATCATACTGTTGATTTTCCATTGCCATCCTGGACTATTTAAGCAAGCCCCGCTCCTCGCTCCCGCGCGCCATCCGAGATCGATCCCAGGCTAGCGCACATAATTTGTTTTGCAGTGTCTGCTATAAAAGCCTATTATTCTGGTATACGGCTGCGCTGGGTGGTTTTTGACGTTGCCACAATCTTGAATGGACAACAAACCAATAATTTCTTCTAGATTAAGGGAGTAATGTTTGTGGACATACTTGCACAGATTACTGTCATTTAAGCAGAAATATCAAAAAGCAATCTTATACATTTGAAAAAAAGTCAAGTAATTTTCAAAGCTTCATAGTGAGCTCTCTCGAATCACTCCGTGCAGGAACAATTTTGACTTATTGGTTGATTTAATTCAACTTTGCAAGTAGTATTGAGTTTGACATGCACGCAACGTTAAGCCCAAAAACTCCTTGAAAGTTT